ACAAAAAATCAATTATTTCATTAACATTTATTATTTTTGCGATACAAATTTCTCAATGTAATTTTCATCATTTTATTAGGAAATTTTCAAAAAATTTCGAAATTTTACATCCGAAAAAGTCATATCTCATGTAAATTTTTAGATGTAAAATTACATAGAGTATGATTTTTTGGACATAAATTTTCGATTGTAAAAATGTTACCAACTTCTTTACAAGTTCGATTGTGCCCCCCAAAGTTAAAGTTCTGCGTCCGCCCCTGAACGTAATTATACCGCAAGTGTACAGTGTCAAATTTTGTAATATATTATTGAATTTAGGATGTCGAACCCACGTGGGTTGATATTTTAATTTCTACCATATAATTATGTAGTCTCTATTTTATCCAGACAAACAAATTATAAAATCAATGGTTTTGAACTAATTAAATGTGAATGTTATGACGAATTCAACGAATAAATGCAAGTCATACAAATTAATCAATATAGAAGAGTTTAGGATATGATTTCACCAAACTATCAAATATGATTTTCAAAAAGCTAGTTATCTCTGATAATTTTTCATATATATAAGCAAGAACCAATGTAATTCTACCCCCTCTCTCGAGTGTCGGGTAAAAATTATTTCTAAAAATTAATTCCAATCGAGGAAATGGTGGCCAATGGATGGTTGAACCAACCCAATTTCCACAATAGCCTTAGAAAAAAGACTGGAAAAAAAAAAAAACTCAGAAAATATGGAAAAAAATCTTACCAACGAAATAGACCTCAACACTACTCACCATAATCATCTTCTACATATTTCATAATGTTAGTTATTTTTTATTGTTTAAATTTCATGATTTTACGAATGGGTAAATATTATTTGATTTTTACATTTAGTCTTGATAAAATCTATGAATTTATGCTTTTAATCATAGTTATAAAATTCGATCCGAACTGATCGGTCCGGCTGGAAAACCGTGACCCAGACTGGGCAGATTAATTTAATAGGAATACACGTGACTTGGTAAAAAATTGGCTTTGACAGAGTTAACCGCTTCAATTTACCGATTTTCAAAATTGCCTTTTAAAATTTTGGGGGTCTAAGGAATTGGACAACCTGGACCTCCAAGTAAAATAATTAGGGTATGTTCTCTTTACTGTTTTCAAGCCGTTCTCTGTTTTTGATTTTCCAAAACAGTGAAAACACGTTCTCTTTCTTATTTTCGAAAACGCGTTTTTGAAAACAAGTTTAAAATTTACAAAGAAAATCAAAAACGACAAATTTGGCATTTTGGGTGTTTTCAGTTATAACTTGGCCAAAATTTTCAAAAATGCGTTTTCAAAACAATTTTAAAAAATGGCAAAAAGAACACGTTTTAAATAATCTCAAAATGGACACTCAAAATACAAAATTCAAAATAAATTCAAAACTAAAAACACAAAACTGAAACACGAAGATAACAACACCTTAGTTCCTCACCATTGGAGTTGTAGAGTACTTCTATATTTTTTATGTGCAATAACTTATATGTATCCAATGAATCACATATATATTTTCTAAAAGTATTTTTATAAAAATTTTGGTCAAACCTTTTACTTTGTTTTATAAACTTAAATAATTAGTGAAAAGTAATTTTAAAAAATATAATTTTGTCTAAATTTTTTTTTATACTTTAATACCCACCGATCCAACCATTGACCCACTGGTTCAACTAGTAACCCGAGATCCAGTATCTTGTCTGGATCGATGTTCGAGTCGGGTCTAATAACTATGCTGTTAATGCATGAATTAAAATAGATATATTGTTAGAATGGAGTTTAGGGATGATTTTGGTAATTTTTTTGGGGTGACGAGCTCGGCCGCGCGTATGGCCGTCTGGAGTCTTGGCCCAAACACCCCGAAAGTGGTCCAGGAGTTTGGGCCCATATGGTTACATTTTGAAAAGGGTCATTGCGGTGAACAATGAATAAGTTGCGGAGGAGAAAAAAATTCGAAGTCAAATGAGATATATACCAAACCCTCATAAATTCCCATCCATCTCCGTTACTTTAAAAAAAAAAAAAACATGTTCTTAATTTCCAAATTTTGATCTCGCCCAGATTCAGAACCTTTTTATTTATTAATCTTCGTCCATATTTCTATTTGATCTATCTATCATTAGTTTTTCACGATAAATTTTTAAAAAAAGTGGGGAAATATATACTTTGAAGTGATGAACTCGAATTCTCCGTCAACGAGTACGGGAGGACCTGGATCAGCCGATTCAACAGCGCCCAGAAGGAATTCCAAGCGACCCAAATGTATTTTTTTCTTCATACACAATCTGTTTTTCGTTTCTTAATTTTACTAATTTTTATTGAATGATATTTAATTTGAGAATTGATGAGTATTATGGAAACAATTGTCTTTAATTGAAAATTTAACTGGGTTTAAGGGTGGGGTTTGTCTTTTAATCCTTGTTAATTTGTATATATCTGGGAAGTGCATTGAGCATGTTATTTTATGTATTTACAAAGGTTACCCACACAATACTAAAAGATTTGGCTGCATAATTTTTCTACGATTTTATACTTATGTTTGCTGCCAACAGTAGGAAAGTTGAGTTAAGTCGAATTATATCTGTGTGGGTTTTTACTCTAAGGCATATTAAGGCGTGGAAATGATTTTAGAATACAAAGTATTTTTGTCAACATAATGCATCATTGACTAAATCGATTGGCTTACTGATTTTCCTACAAGAGATTTTGAAATAATTAAATTACAATGACACCACAAATGTATGCGTCTTTAGGCTTGTTTTCATAGAGAGATGATCCAAACCTAGTTCCAGCTTTTTATGGTCTGAGTAGCTCAATAGGTTGGGTTCTCAAAGATCACATCTCAGAATTAGCAGGGATTTAAATCCATAAGGCCTGGGGTGGGGAAGTGCTTAATGATTCGCAGGGAATGCACTGGCCAATACTTCTTTTTCATCGGATGTTTTGTACCGCAATCATACTGCTTTGCCTGAGTTTGGGATCAAAGAAATATTGATAGAGCAAGTGATGTAGTTGAAGACTTGAAGTGAACAAATGATTAATTGAGGTAGACGTGCATATGAACCATATAAAGATTGCCTAACAAATAATCTGCAGGCCATGATGCACTTTTCCTATTGGATTATTCTATATGACAAACATTGAGCACATCACTATGTGATATCAAGTTGTACTTATTGAAAATGTTTTGGAATTTTTTTGAAGTTTCCTATTGGTTTATTCCATATGACAAAGATTGAGCACATCTCTATGTGATATCAAGTTGTACTTATTGACACTGGTTTGGAATTTTTTTGGAGGACACTTGTTTGTAACTATAAAAATCCTCCCCTCCGCAAGATGTCACCCCTAAAGGGGATTAAAAATTTTAGAAAGGACTCAATGCTTACCAACTCAGTACAAGTATCATCCATAGGGTGCAGCTACCTATTTTGTAAGGGCGGTTTCAAAATGTAAAAAACAATTGTTCGACTTGCTAAAACATATTATTTATATGGGAATGTTGCAAAACAGAATGCTTGGGCTTTCAATTTCGTTTGGAGGTTGCATTAGTGAGTAAAATATGGGAATATCAATTCTATACCTTTCTTCATCTTCAGAAAGTATTGCGAAGCAATAATATATGTATTTTCGCAATTTGAATTTTGATTGATTAAAGCATCATTTCTGCTTTCATTATTTCTTCAGATTCAAAGTTTACTCAACAAGAACTTCCAGCATGCAAGCCTATTCTAACACCTAAATGGGTAAATATTATAAACTGTTTCTACATATTAGTGGTGCCTTATTATTTATTCACCACATTATGGGGATTTATTTTACCTATGGATTTACTACCTCTCACAAACTCTGTTCCATGCAGGTGATTTCAGCTTTCTTGCTTGTTAGCATAGTCTTTATTCCCATTGGAATTGTCTCGCTATTCGCTTCCCAGGATGTATGCTCAGAATTTCCTAACCTGTTCTTTTGTTTTTTGTTCTTCCCTCACTAAAATGGTTTCTTTCATCAGGTTGTTGAAATTATTGATCGATATGAAACTGATTGCATTCCTTTAGATTCAAGAAATGATAAAGTTAGATTTATACAAAGCCCAGTAGATAAAACCTGCAACAGAAGTCTGACAGTGAGTTTCAATTCGATGGTTTATGAGTTTTATTGTGGCAATTGTATTTTATATTTTAGTAAAATTATAAAATCTAATATTTGATAACTATTGATTTATCATCAGGTTCGCAAACACATGAAACAGCCCATTTATGTATATTATCAGCTTGACAATTTCTACCAGAATCATCGCAGGTACTTTAATGTTTCTATATACTGACATTAAATTAGGTGAATGCTATATTTAACTGTTTCTTTGATGGAATATTTTGGATTTCTACATCTGTGGAGAGTGTTAGCGATTCCTGATTTTTGTTATGGATATAGAACTCTTCTATAAGATAAATGATTCCACCGGAAATTTAATTTTATTCTCTCTTCTGGTATCTTGTAATAGTTGTCTATTTGAAATATTCTTGCGACTTTGTTAGGAATTCTTAATGAATATATTAGTTCATTGTTACTTCTTATTTTCAAACACTGGCTGATATCTATGCCATTCTCAGGTATGTGAAGAGCCGAAGTGATCAGCAATTGAGAAATCCAGGAAATGAGGATGACACAAGTGCCTGTAAGCCTGAAGATACTGCCCATGGGATGCCAATTGTGCCTTGCGGTCTTATAGCCTGGAGCCTGTTCAATGATACTTACGACTTCACCCGCAACAACCAGCCGGTGACCATAAACAAGATAGGTATCTCGTGGAAGAGTGATAGAGATCACAAATTCGGCAAAAATGTCTACCCAAAGAACTTTCAGAATAATACTCTAGTCGGTGGAGCACGTCTTGATGCAAATAAATCAGTAAGCCTCCAGTCATATTTAATCACATAAAAAAATCACTGCTTGTGTATGTTATTTATGGTCTTTATTTATGAATATATGAGTTTAACGGTTAAGGATACTTATATACTTTTATTTTTATTTAACACGTGATAATGTATATCGCTATATGAAAATGCTTTGTTATTATGTTACTGTGTTTGAAAAAATGAAAATGGTTTTTCACCATATCATCACTTTGTTATCATCACACTTTGTTGTGTTTGGACATGCTTCAAAAATCCATATTTGATTTAAGGTAAAAGAACATAATAAACAGAAAATAAGATCCTGATTCGATAGAGATTTTTGGATAATAGATTTTGTGAAAAGTGATTTTTATGGAGAATGTGTGGTTGAAAAGTATGGGAAAGTATAGATCCACGTGCAAAATTATTCTATTGAGAGAATGTGTGGTTGAAATAAGTTTGGGAAAAATGAGTTTTAGAAAATGGGGAACAAACTGGGGCTAAGATGCTTCCACTGTTACGGACATATCTGAATTTCTCTCTCTGGGATCTTCTGTAAAGTAGAAAAGTGAACTGAATAGAGGATATTCAATTTGTAGCTTTGTCAGTTCGTATTCTTGCTACTTATTCACTCATCTTGAGTGGTATTTCGAACTTCTACCAGAAGACACTCCGTAGCGATGTGTTGCCAGATCATGCTTTAACTTGTCTTTTAGTGTGATACTGCTACGTTTAACTGATATGTATAAAATTTTCAGTTGTTTTATTTATATCTATTAATTTGCTTTCCAGACTCGGATAATCATCAGTTACTGATATCTTATCATTTAACAGTTGAGTGAGCAAGAGGACCTTATTGTTTGGATGCGAACTGCAGCACTTCCAACTTTCAGAAAACTGTATGGGAAAATAGAGGTGGATCTTCAGGCCGGCGATGTCATTAATGTGGAATTGCAAAATAATTATAACACTTATAGTTTCAATGGCAAGAAGAAACTCGTCCTTTCTACCACGAGCTGGCTTGGAGGAAAGAATGACTTTCTTGGTATTGCATATCTTGCTGTGGGTGGTTTGTGCTTCTTTCTCTCCATGGTTTTCACAATTATTTATCTGGTTAAGCCAAGGTACGTTTTGGTGCCTGACATTGTTTTCTCAGCTTATAGTATTTTTGTGGAAGTATCGTATCGTATCTGAGAAAAAACCTTCACCATTGTTAGTCGAAAACAATAGTTGGTCTCACCTGCCCGCTACGTGTTCTCACCACCTGCCAGATTATCCAAACTAACTGTAACGTATAACTCACTTTTTAAATGAGCATGCACAGTATTTTGTGTTCCCGAGCCAAAGTTCTAGACTGGGCCTTCACTGGGACCTTTGTCATTCTGCTGTTATTCCCAACATGTGTCATTTAACTAGCATGAACCTATTCTTTGGCAAAATGTCATTGATATGTTTTCTTTATTTCAGGAAACTTGGAGACCCATCTTATTTGTCATGGAACCGCAACCCAGGAGGTCGCTAAGCTTATAGCCCATGAACGAGTATTCAGGTGGATATTCGGGACATAAGCTTGTGCCTGTTAAGTTTCCATAGGTGTGTTAGTGTGTGTATAAACCTCAGTACATGGTGTACAAATTGTTTCGGATGTTTTGTATTGAAATAGTCGACATATTTGGGTGTATATTTGATTCAAGGCTTTGCACATATATGAGCCGAGTTCTGTGCCCGTTCCTGCTAATCCACTGGCCAAACATTTCTTCCTAGTTAAGAATGTTAAATGCATTCAAAATATATCAATTTTCAGTGAAGAAACAATACAATAATTTGGAGGGAAGATGGTGAAAATAAAAGATAAGTAAAATTTTTTGAAAGTAGTAAAATTAAATGTTAAATATAAATGGCTTGTTGGAGTACTTAAAAATATTTACTCTCTAAATTTATAAATATTTTTTAAATTGTAAAATATGTTTTATTAATATAGAAAGTCTTTTGAAGATACTATAAAGATGCTAATTTATTATCACCGACCTTAGGGAGGCTTTCTCGTCTATTTCCAAAAAAAAAAAAATAAAGACTATCCATGTTCGTCACCACGTGTGCTTCTTTCTTCTCCTCCTCCTCAAACGCTAATCAACATCGCTGGGGAAAAAGTTTGCATGTCCTAACTCTCGTATGGATTGTCAATCTTGCAAATTGAGCAAAGAGATGCACGTGCATTGAATTAGGGTTCTTGTTCTCTATAATTCATGTCCTCTTCTACCGTCGAATTTCGGATCTCAGTGCTAGAAAATGGTTTACTATATTGAGGTAAAGATCGTGTTCTTCTTGTTTAGTTTGGATTACTTTGTTAGAGAAGTTCGATACTCGAGCATTTTGTATGTCACGTCATTTTACACGTGAATAAAATGTTGTTAAGAATGTACAATTAACGTGTCATAAAAATACATTGAATTGTTAAAATGAAAGACTACAACAATCACGAGATTAAAAATATAGATATTACAACAATGTCACAACAAAAGGTTATTCATCCACCAAATTATTCTTCCGGTAAAGCAGTTTTCTGTTCAGTCGAAAATTGAAATTCTTCATTACAATCATCAAAAAGTGATCCTAAAATAGCAATCTACAAAAATAATGCATTTGATTTTGTCCAGTCCAATCAGTGCTATTTATATAAATTTGGAGGGTTGCTTCTTGGTTGGACCGGCCCCTTCCACGTTAAAATTACAAACCAGACCGACACAATCAACCCGGAGATTATTTTCCACTGTGTGTGTGGCAGTACACTGTCGTCTCTCTGCGAAAACTTCCAATTAGATCTTAGATCCAAATCGGTATGTTGAATCTCACATTTTTCACTTACAAATATCTAATGCTCTCTCGATTTTCTATTTATAATTTTGCTGTATTATTTTTTCAATTTTAATTTAATTTTTCTGCAGTTATGGATTCATCGACATTGCTATTCAACCAGCTCAAGGTTGAACTTATTCCTTAATTTAATTTTCTTATTTTTGAATTTTTTATTACTGAAAAGTTTAACGTAATTTTTAAATATTGGAAAACCAGGCAGCGGAGCCATTTTTCCTGTTAGCTGGCCCCAATGTGATTGAATCAGAGGATCACATTCTTCATATGGCTAAGAATATCAAGGCCATCGCTTCTAAGTATTACCATTACTCTCTAATCTTCGTTTACTATGATGCAATATATGTTGGAAGTAAAATTGTTTAGATTAATGGCGTTTTAAAATTTTGCTATTTGTAGGCTTGGGTTGCCATTGGTTTTTAAGTCTAGCTTTGATAAAGCTAATAGGACATCCTCTAAGTCGTTTCGAGGACCTGGCTTGGAGGAAGGCTTAAAGGTATTATTGGTATTTTGGGTTTAAATGCATACACTACTGTGATTCTTAATATGACGAAACTGTAGTTGTGTTTAAATAAAATAAATTTGATAAGTTTTCTTTATTATTAGTTATATGAGTGGTCCTATTTAGATCTACGTTGCTATGTTATGTGATATTGCTTTAAATGATAAGTCAATTACAAAGTTTATTAGAAGTTTTACAAAAGATAAGCCTGTTTGATGCCAATAAATGTCCACTTATTTGTGTTTCTCTTTTTTCTCTTAGATCCTTGAAAGGGTGAAGACAACATATGATCTTCCTGTAGTCACTGATGTGCACGAGTCAATCCAGGTAATCGTTCTTCCAGTTATGTGCAAGTTCTATTTAAATATATAATTGATTACCATATAAATCTGCAATGATAGTGGAACTATATAATTGTTTTTCTCGCCATTTAAATTATTAACTATAGGATCTTGCTTTCAGTTTTTGTGCAAGCAGTGACCATTCTATAAATCTGGAGTTCTGTTGGTTATACCTATGATGCACCGACATGGACATATGTTGTGTCGAATATATTATTACTGTCAAAGGAATTAAAATTGTGGTAGAGTCCGACGAGTGTCAATATGCGACACACCACCCTAGTTGAAGTGTTCTAAAACTAGTAATTTTGTCTTTTAAAAGCATTTTATGGCCCCGATAAAGTGAATATTAGTCATCCAGTGTTCTCTTGTATGATGGTGCACTCTTCTAATTTACATTTGAGCTTTTGTGATGTTTATTGCCTTGGTTCTTAGTGACACTGTCCTAGACTTGAAGCTAGCAGGTCAAAATCTTAAACCTTATATGCCATACATGACTAACATACTATTTGGCTTCTTGATGGTCATCTTGGAAAAATAGTACTGCTCCATTTTTGAATAGGTAATACTAAAGAGAATGGGGAAAAACACGTGGCCTACACCAGAATTGCATGTAACTTAGAAACATGCTGGTCTGGAACAATTATACATTTAGGGTGTGTTTGATGGATATTATTAAGGAAAGAATGTATTTTAAATAGTGATATGATGAGAAATATGTTGTTATATGAACTCCCCGGCAATATAAATCTAATGACGTAAAGAAATCTTGAAAGAATGTGTTGACCATCAATTAATCTACATTGATATGATGAGAAAAATGTGGTTAAAAAGTAAGGAAAAATTATTGATGTGATGGAAAATATTATTTTATTGAAGAATGTGTAGTTGAAAATGAGTTTTAAAAGAATGTATTTTGAGAGAATGTGTACCAAACATGGACTTATTATACATTTATAGTATGTATGTGGTTTTATTTTTTTTATTTTCCTTTTGATCTAGTAATTAGATCATTCAATAGTGATGACATTGAAAGTTAAGCATGTACAACTAGCCCTTGTGTGGGAGAGATTTTTTTAAAAAAGTGATTTTTTGATAAGTTATTATTTTGGAGAATGTATGGTCATAAAGTCAGGAAAATTTATGAGAAAATGTGAAAAATGATTTTTGTTTGGAGAATGTGTGTAGAAAATGAGCGTGGAGCACCTAGTTTCAACTGAGCACAAACTATGTTGCCTCTCTAATACTTGATTTTTCGCAGTGCGAAGCAGTTGGCAGGATTGCTGACATAATTCAGATTCCTGCTTTCTTGTGCCGGCAGGTTAGATTGATAGCTATAACTAAGCTACCCTTGCTAGAACGTACTCTTCAAATATCAAGTCCATTCTTTTGAGATTTTTGTGGGGGTAGCTTATGTCTATTCATTTTGTTGTCTTTTTGAATGTCAGACAGATCTACTTGTTGCAGCTGCCAAGACTGGGAAAATTATTAATATCAAGAAAGGCCAATTTTGTGCTCCTTCAGTAGGCATTTGCTCTTTTTTCATTTTTCCCTGTTCCATGTGCTAATTATGTCCTTCTCCAGCCCATAATAATTGCCACTTTGTATCATCTTCAGTATCATTTTCCAAAATGATAGTCGATTTGATTTTGCAGGTTATGTTAAATTCTGCTGAAAAGATTAGGTTGGCTGGAAATCAAAATGTTATGGTTTGTGAGAGAGGAACAATGTTTGGCTATAGTAAGTTCTCCTAGCTTCCATCTTAATTGTATCCAACAAAGTTTCAAGTATATTCTAGATAGTAATTCACTATTAGTAAATGAGAAATTGATTGTTTTGAAGCTTTATTGTTGTTCCAAACTGTTATCTTGGACCCTGTAAAGCCATGTCAAATTACAAAAGCAAGAAATTTGATCGCAGTGGTAATGGACGTTTGAGGCATAGACTATATAAATAAGCTTCAAAGGTTTATTCCCAACACATGTAACCAACTGTTTTTTTAAACCATGCTAAAAATTTAAAAGTGCGGTTATGTTGAAGGTCCTGCAAAAAGATGGTTTAAATAATTCTTGAAGGTTGACTTGAAGTGGAAGCTACATAACTGCAATTAAGATGTTCACGAAGTTACCTATTCATTCTTAATGCTACAGCTTTCATTGTTAGAAAGTGACACTGTTGGTCTGCTATACAGATGACTTGATTGTTGATCCCCGCAACTTCGAGTGGATGAGGGAGGCTGATTGTCCTGTTGTAAGATTGTTGGTCCATGCTCTGTTGTTCATCAGTGTTGTGTACCAATATTTAGACAAGCATCCCTAGTCACAATTCCTCTTCCAGCATCATAAGATTTCTGAAAGATAGTTTCATTGATTGAATAACTATGTTTCAGGTGGCCGATATAACACATTCATTACAACAACCTGCTGGGAAAAAGGTGTGTATTATACTATAGCTCATTTCTTAAATCAGAGCATCAGATGGAGCTGTAGTTCAAATAGCCATACAATGTTAAGCATAGTACAGGCTGGTGAGAGACATTTTTCAGAAAATTTAATGAACTTTGTTGATTCTCGAAGAATGAATGATTTTCCACCTCAAATAGAGTACTTGTAGTGGCTGACTCTTTGTTCCAATTTTAACTACTTGATCATTGAACCCTTTTCCTTTACCAAAAAATAATGCTTCTTCCAAATCACCAAGGGATTCTCGATATGCGTCCAAGGATTAGTTTGAAAATATTTGATTTTCTACTGGAATGACTATTCAAAATAGAAAAGATCATGGATTAAATTTCTGCCTGTAAATAGCAGAGACCAAGTGTCATGGGCTCTTGTTCAGAGAGAAGAGAGCATTTTTCATCTTCTGTCACAGTGTGCATTCTCAAATAATGAGTTTTATTTCCATGTCAATGGACTACTACTTTATTTCAACCAGCTGGAAGGTGGTGGGGTAGCCAGTGGAGGTCTTCGCGAATTGATACCTTGCATTGCCAGGACAGCAGTTGCTGTTGGGGTGGATGGAATTTTTATGGAGGTATATAATTGACATTCTCTGGTTAACAGGATATATTTTCGTGTTTACCTATCAAAAAAAAAAAAAAAAGAGGATATATTTTCATCTCGTATATGCAGTCTGTTTTCACCTGCTTCAAAAATTTTGATGACTCAATTTTTATAGAACCCAGTACTGTTACTTTTTGTACTTGTGGACACCTTGTGCTCATTTTTTTGCAATTTCTTCTCTCCATTAATTACTTCTTTTTATGTAAAAATCTGTTAATACTTAATAGTAATTAGTTAAATTGTTTCCTGAGTTTCCTATTTTGATTATTTGGCTGCTTAGGTGCACAATGACCCTTTAAAAGCTCCAGTTGATGGTCCAACTCAGTGGGTAAGTTTGACATGCCCGATAAACTTATACCAGTTTTTGTATCTCTGGTAGGGTATTAAGTGTGATCTGTCGGCTTTTACTGTTTAATTGTTTTGTATAGCCTCTTCGCCATTTGGAGGAACTGCTGGAAGAGCTCATGGCAATTGCTGTAAGTTTCTCTTCACCTGTTTCTGATAATATGCAGTTAACGCCAACGGCATGTTTAAAATGACGGTATGGAGTTCACAACAAGAGAGCTCTACATTAGATTTGATTTTTCTCATGTGTATTCAGAGTCCTGAATACCGTGACATAATGAGTTAAAAGACAGTCGAACTGATTTGGTATGTGAAGAAAATATGCACTGTGAGGAATAATAAGTGGTACTCTCCGCATATCCTTCATCGGAAATGACATCAATTCATGCTTTGAATCTTGCTACAATTGAAAATAGCCTTTTGGTTTGGTTGAGTAGGTACCAGTGTAATACAATCAATTCATGTTGAGCAATGGCAGTTCTGGGTCCACTGGGAGTGATTTTTCGAAAACCACTTTTCCCCACAATCATTTTCAACCACTCATTCTCCAAAGTAAAAAATATATATATATCGTTTTTCACATTTCCCCATAACTTTTTCCTACTTTCTAACCACACATTCTCCAAAAAAATTACTTCTCAAAAAATCTCTCCCCCACAAGCACTTAGTTCATGTGGCTCATCTCTATCCGGCCACTTGAAATTGCTAAATTAGTTGTGGATGATAGCTTGGAAAACTGTTAAATGTGTGTACTGATAAAAGATGCAGTTTCCTCCCTGCAGCAAGGGACATCTACCAAATACAAAGATATAGTCAATACCAACCTCAGATTGGTATAGATGCAAAGGTTCTTACAAAAGAACCAGATGATCTGTGGGTAAAATTAGAATTTTTAGGTCTATGTCTAGTCTTCACCCCCAGCACTCTTGCTTGGCGAGAACTAAAGCCCTTTTTATAGGTACTTGGCTATTTGTTACTCTCAGATGTGAGGCTTAGATGATTATGAGAAATGCTTCTTTCTCATAGCTTCCAAATCCCCATTTGAACTTTGGCCAGTAATGGAGCTTTTTTCTATGTTAATATTAGGTTAAATTTCCATTGTACATGAAATTTGAATTCCCTATCAAGCCAAAGTGGTTTCATAAAAAGGTGCCACATAATCAAATCACTCCACCCTGGCGCATTCATCAATTAAGCAAGTCCATGAGCAGGAAAAGATCATTTAACCTGTTGCAGTGTTTTTTTAGTCATTTTGTGCTATTTGATGCTGTCAAAATTGTTTTCTCCATATATTTACGCATTTGTATTCATAGAGGGCCAGCAAGGGGAAGCAACCCTTTCAAATTGATCTCACTCCGTTCAGTTCCTGAGAATTCGGGGGCTTCTCATAGGTAAGTTTCTAAAACCTAAACCAGACATCTTTATCTACCATTGATGTGTGTGCACTTTTTAAGGATGAAATGTGTATAAGATTAAACGAGCATATTACTTTGACCTTAATGTTCCTGAAGTGCATCATTCCAATATGAAAGATAGTCAACAAGGGAAATGCATTCTTCTGTGAGTTTATAGTAATTTTTTCCTTGGAAGATAGCTCTAGTCTTTGACTATGTACAAGTATAGATGCATCTTTGATAATCTCACAGGTGATAAATTTAGGTTCGATTAATAACATCCATTTCTCAGTAAGAATGTAAACTCAATAGTCCGGGAATCATGTAATTTCAGTGGTCTGAAAATCATACAATGGCCTACTAAGTTTTAAGACATCTGTATTTCTGTTATTTTCTTTGCTGCAGAACTGGAAGCCTCGAGCACTACAGAACTTTCTTCCTAAAATTTATAATTCTTGAGAGTGCATGATGTATGGGCACCACCTAATATTATCTGGCTCTGGGCATATTGTGGAGTGTTTTTAGAATTGATTTCGTATTTGTATTAATGAATCCGCTAGTGTATCGGTCGTTATTGAATTCTTTTCTATTAAATTATGATCTAGACGTGCCTTGATCTTGTAGTTTATTTGTACTCTTGCAAATATCAATATTGTATTTCTGTTGGTTATGTGAGTTAATGTTGAAACACCCGATTTAAAAACTTGCTATTAGAGGGAGAACAATTTATTTAACTACAATCTTCAACATGCACTTCGCACGACATGAGCCGACCTTAGGTGTTGAACTAATTCGGCCCATTGTCACCCCTAAAATGTGTGGATAAAGGTGATTTGAGTGTCTATAAATAGTTTATAAATATGTGAGTCAAACATAGTTTAGTTTTATTGAAAACTCCGTTGCCATTTGTTTATTGAATAAAGTAAATTTAGTTTTTCAATTTCGATCTCAATCGGTATTCTTGTGTTCAATCAACTATATGTGATCTTTGTTATTCATTCTTTATCGTATGGATATGGATTTTTCAGGGGAGTAAGATGCAATGCAGGGGCTTGTGCGCCTTCGTTTGACTTTCATTGAATTGTAGTTTGGCAGAATACGCACCGTAGTCGCCTGGGTATCAAATAGAGTGCGCTAGAAATTGGGGTTAATTTTACTAATTACCCACTGAAATTTATGCTTGGCATCGGCCACTCAACTTTACAAAATATTTCATTCAAACTATCGACTCAGTTTGACGTCTGTTTTTTAACTCTTTTACATGTTTGTGTCGTTTTGTGTCGTCGTAGGATTTAGCTGAAACCTTAACACAGGATTATCAGTTTAAAAAGGATGTCAAATTGAACGAGCTGTCTCAATGAAGTATCTTGTAAATTTATTTATTAGTTTGAAGCATAATAAAATTTAGTGACCAATGTGCATTCCAGTTTGATAAGTTTAGAAATAGAAATAATAGTGAGTCTCATAAAATGTATAACTAATAATAAAAAATAACTATGAATGTACGATTGAAATTAATGTTTGATTGAATATGTAAATTGTCTTTGACTTTAATTGAATATATAATTGTTCATAAAAGGAGGTATAAAATTATGTGACCATGTAAAATTAACCCGCTAGAAATTTGTTTTTTCCCCTACAAATTGGAAATGCGAAGTCAGTTGGGCTAATTTACTAGTTCAAGTAAATATTTTTGCCTTGTTTGAAGGTCTTGAAGTAAATATTTTATATTACACTAGTGATTTCAAATTCGCAAGTCCGTTGAGCAATGTCAACTTTGTCAATTTTTGGCTGCACTTAAAAATTGAGAGTTTGTTTGGTAGAACTTAAAATCCAATTAAAATTGAAAATATAGTCATTATTGGGTTCCACTCGTCTAATAAAAGTCAACAATAACGATTAATTTTTTAAATTTAATTCGATTTTAATCTCTATCGAACACTCCCTGAGTACTCTTCTAAGCATAAATAGGTCAACTAAATGGTATTCATATTGCACGTTCGGATTTTTTTTTTTTTTTCTATATACAATTGCATTTTATTAGAATAAATGATTAATTAAAAATAAAATATTGAAGTCTGTTTGTAATAGAAAAATTACTTTACAATACTCTTAACCAAGCATGTTCAAAGAAAAGAAATAAAACAGAAAAAGATTGGTATCTTGGCCATGTCCAAAACCACTCAAAAGAACCCACTTTTTACTTCAACAACACAAAATCAAAACAATCACTTTTCTGTAGCCAAACGTTGAACAACAACAAGAAAAAAACTATGGCCTATATTCTGCCAAATCTTTCTCCAACTCTGCTTCAATCTAAAGAAAAATCCCCGGCTATTGTTTTTCACCAACAATGTTCTTCTTCTCCTCTTAGTTCCCCATCCCCAGTGTTAAGTTCTTCCGTTAATACTCAGACCAAGCTTGAGCCGCCTCCACCTCGGGGTCTAGCGCAGGTGAACCGGACCCCAGGTGCGCAGGATAAGAACCAGAACCAGAAGGATGAATTTTATGTTAACCTAGGTTTAGCTGTACGGACACTTCGTGAAGACCTTCCTGTAATCTTCACCAAAGACCTTAATTATGGCATTTACAGGTACCCTTTTGGTTATTTTGTTCATTTATGTTTATGGGTATTTGAATTTTTGTAGTTTTATTTTTTTAGATTGTTAGAAATTTGAGTTTTTGAGATTGAGAATAAAGGGTGGATTGGTTATTTGTTTATTTAATCAATTGGCAGGGATGATATAACGTTTGTGGACCCTTTGAACACGTTTACTGGAATTGAAAATTACCAATTGATATTCTGGGCATTGAGATTTCACGGTAGAATTTTATTCAGAGAAATTTCATTAGACGTGCTTAGGATTTGGCAGCCGTCTGAGAATACGATACTCATCCGATGGAACTTGAAGGGCGTCCCTCGGGTTCCTTGGGAGGCAAATGGACAATTTCAGGGCACATCACGATATAAATTGGATAGAAATGGGAAAATTTACGAGCACAAGGTTGATAATCTGGCATTTAATTTCCCACAGCCATTGAAACCTGCAGCTTCAGTTTTGGATATGGTTGCTGCTTGTCCAGCTAGTCCAAATCCTACATTTTTGTGGGGTCCTATGGACGTGCATTCATCATCTTGGGTGGAACTTTATAGGGCTGTGAAGGAGGCGTTGGATAGCCAAGGATCGATGATTGCTCAAGATTGCTTAGCTACTTGTTCATAGTGACAAAGGCTAGCTACTAGATGTTTTTCTTTATATACAGTAGAAGATATATTATAAATAGTAGTTACGTGTTTATTGATAACTTTTGAAGTATAAATAAAGTTTGGATGGAAAAAACAGGTGTATATGGTAGATGTAAAGTTCTTAAAGAGTTCATCATATATTTGTATCACTGAAAGAAAATACTGGGGCGGGTGTTAGCTAATAAGGTGTCTGTGTAAAAGAGAGTAATCTGTTATTGATTTGAGGAAGTTCATTCATGGTGATTCTATTAAATGATCTTTTCATTTTGGGACATTCTAGTCTAACTCCCACTCTTGATGGCCTAAAACTCCGTGGCCCTGTTTAGGAGAGGGCTGGCAATAAAATGATCTAGATTTTGACCTCTTTTTATATTATAATACTGTCAGTACTGTCCAATCTAGCGTACAAAACATTCTTTTTTTGGACAGAACAAAAAAATCCCTTCTTTTTTATAACGGATCCAAGATCCCCTATGTTGAAAGGTCATGTCCAACTTTTGTCTTCCATAACATTTGTCAGAGAGAAGAAAAGGAATTCGTATACTATGTTTTCCAACTTTTAAAGGCAATATGGATGTGTAATCTGCATTCTTTGTGTTTCCAACTTTGTGCTCGTTTTCTGGAGGGACATCCCTTTAAAAAATTTGGCACGATGTGATGTGTTTATCATGTTTTGTAAGAGAACCTGTGCTTTAACATATATTTGAACTATAAACTTCATTTTTAGTTGGCCATGCAAAGTTTACATGTGTGAGTTCACTTTGTCACATCGAGTCTTAGACTCGAAACAGGAATAATGATTCAGCCATTATATCCCTTTCAAAAAATGGAAAGGGAAGAATGGAAGGGAATTAAGCTTCAAATTTCTCGATTCATTTCCTATTTATTTCTGTTGTATCACTTGAAAATTGATTCACTCCCCTAACTAGAGATGGAACTATTGATGTATTAACGTATAATCTCTAGCAACAGCAAATTATAGAGCATAAAAAGCTTGCGTGAAGTAGAAGTGTTAAGAAGTCGCTTTAAGACTTGCATCTGAGTTGTAGAATACATTTGATGAGAACTTCTATGGAGAAAATGGCCATAACATAGATGAAGCATGCCCAGAAAGTGTGGTGTAATCAAAGCTTCATATATCTTTCTCATAGGTAGAGCCAGCAGCTTTGTGGAACTTCAGAATCATCCCTGCACTCTCTGTATCATGAAACAAATAGCTTAAAGTTGATTTTTAATAACAAAATCTACTTTTTTTTAGAGAAAAAGAGCTTTAAAGCACACCAAACAAATTAACAAACACTACATGGAATGCATTTTTTTATATATCGGCATATCATGTTTTATTTCATATTCATTTTCTTAACACAGTTGGCCACTCAACTTCTATATGAATCATGATAGACAACACAGGCAATTTTGAATAATACTATTCTTCATAGTTAATGAGTAATGACTAGTGTGAGAGTTTCATGCTAACATTTTTTTCTTGTTTTAATGTAAATTTGGAAAGGGACAAAATGCATGTGCCCACTTATGGCTCAGGTTTGAATACTAAAATTATTTTTTATCCACACATAGTATTCGTTTATACATTACCAATTTTTAATTATTTATTTTTTAAATAGTTTATAAATGCTCCCCAACATTCTTACATCAAAATACTTCTTATCCAACAAGAATATACTTAGGCCTGTTTGACAACCATTATTTAGGAAAAGCAATATTTTGAATATTGATTTTTAAGGATAATATGTGGTTCAAAACTCAAAAGTAAGAATTTTTTTTTGATTTACTTGCAATCCCCACCTAATCACAGGGGCCACCTGGTACCCTGTAACGTACTTATAACTTTTTTTTTTAATTTAACAATTATGCTATTTGTACAATTTTATTTGATAATCTTGATTAACAATTCCCACTTACCACATTCATTTCAAAAACTGTTTTTAAAATCAATGGTCCGAATTTTGACAACAGTAAAATTGTCGACCATAATTATCAAACATGATTGTACAAATAGCTTCCCAAAGGACACACTTCATCTCAATTGAGCCATTGTACTTCAATTTAATTTTAAATTTCCATTTTATTAAATTCCGTCACTGTATGAAACCAAGCATCAACAAGCTCGAGAGCTTTCATAGTTTGATGGTATAATTTTCATCATAACTGCAAATGAAATAATTTGAAGGGAGAAACCTCAGAAAATATAGGCGAATTCACGTCAAATGATACTTGAGAAAGATCCTCAGATGGTACGGACAATTTTTATGCATCATTGACCTCTATTTAATTAAATTCATCAGAATATACTACTGTTTATTTAAATGCGTGTTCGTGTGCTCTGCTGTGTGTGTGTTCAAGAACCCTAATTTAGCCCCAACAAGGACGACAGATAATTTGAGATTGAAGATGCACTGGTAATACATATAGTGGAGCACAAGGAAAACCCTAATGCCATTTTAAATGGAATAATGCTTTTCACAGTCGACAATCGTCCTACGTGACATATACATGTTAATGCATCAAATAACCATATATGATACGTACGATGACTGTCGTAATGAGCGATTACGAATAACATTACTCTTTTAAGTTATCACAACGTCCTTACACTTTGCTGGCAGCTACCATTCTTCTCACGCCTTTGAATTAGCCATTATGGGAACAATTATGTTATCTATAAAATCATACTTAACAAAAATGATTGATAACATTGGTGTTGTCAAAATTCGAGTCATTGATTTAAAAAATAATTTTTGAAATGAATGAATGTGATATTTTCAAGTGTGAATTGTCAACCAATATTGTCAATGTAGATTGTGTATATCACGAGTGTTCTCCTGCCCCCAGTGAGCAGGAGAACAATATGCCCACTGCTGATGTGGCACGCCACATCAGCAGTTGACCAAATTAAAATAAATGGTTAATTTGATTTTTTTTTTCTCTCCAATACCAATTCAAATTGCCTAAACCGACACTTCACTTCCCAGCTTTTCAACTTTTTCAACTTTATGATTTGCCACCCCACCCTCTCTAGTAATTTCAATCCCATATCGTCCCAACCACCCAAATCTCACAATTAGTATAATAATTTTCTTTCATATTTAATAGTTATAATATTTATCTTTTATTTCGCATGTAATATTTATAATTTTTTTTTCCAAGTTGTGTAATATTTATATGTGAAATAAGGATTTTGCAATGCCATTTAATTGTTATCAATTTTTGCGCAATTTAATGAAAATGTTTACATATGTTAATAACAAACATAAAAGGCAAATATTACATCGTCTCTCAAAAATTATTATTAGAAAATATAAATGATACTACGGATCAAAACATCTTGCTCCAATGTCATAATTGCGACTCAAATTCCTGTCCAACTTTGGATATTTGACCAAGAAAAACTTGTGGAAAAAACACATTGTCAACACTTTCTGAATCCATCCCTACAACGGACAATAAATAGTCGAAAAGTTAAGACCTATTTATTTTTTTTAGTAGTAAGGAACAAAATTTTAATTTTCTTTTTCGATATTGTTCCGTGATTTTACAATTCAAAAATAACCAAACATTTATAGGCAAGAAAATATA